ACTTGTCGAAACCCCCAATGTTCATCATCAAGGCTTATTGCACAGAGTGTGGCAGAGATATGGAGCTAGATGACAAAGACAACAATCAAAATTTTAAGAGTCTCACGGACCCGTGGTTCACGATGGAGATGGATGGCCAATTTCTTCTTTTCATTTTTGGTTCAGTTACTATGCCAAGTCCATCATGCTGCAACGGTATGATGTCATTAGTAGAAAGTTTGATGATTGAACTTGAATCGGTATTGGGCCTATTGGCACCAACTCAAGTTTTTTTTTAATTAAATTAAAATGATAATATTTATTTATTTTTTATTTAAAATTATCAAAATTTAAATATTAATTATTAAATTAAAATTTTAATATTTTATTAATAAATTATACTATTATATATTGAATATGTAATTTATACATTTAAAAAGAGTGCTTAATAAAAAATTTTTATTTACGTATCATTTTGAGTCAAATATTTAAATACTTAAAATAGAATTGATTAAAAGATTTTTTTGATAATGTGATAAAAAAAATTTATTATGTTATGATAATATTAAAATTTCAATCATAAAATAACATACAAATGCAATAAAAATTCTTCCCATACGCTATTAAAAAGTGTTTAAATTACTAAAACTCAACTTCCTTATACAGCTAGTAAATTTGGGTTTAGCACCCAAACTCAATATTAAATCGGAATCCTGCTAACTTACACATCTAATTAAAGCAGGATTGGATGATGTACGTAAGTATCACCTAGCTAAGTATGTGGCTATAGTTATTACATCAATGCATCCAGATTGATCAGCAGTTTATAACTCGCATGGTCGGAAATACGAACATTGAGTGGTGGACGGGAGGTGGGAGGTTGGGGCTTAGGGGCTTGGCAGGTGGGTAGAGAAGAAGGTCAAAGGCAAAGGCTCTTTCTTCTATGGCCTCCAGGGATGCCACATTATCATTTGCAGTCCGACGTGTCATGGGGTTTGTCCTAGTTGTCAGCGATTCACGTGATCTCTCTCTCTCTCTCTCTCTCTCTCTCTCTCTCTCTCGTTCTATATATATATATATATATGAAGTAAGTAATTATGAACTGAATCAACAAATTCACGTAGATAATCGAGCCAATCTCTTTCAGGTGAGAAGGAAGAGAACAAGACCGGTTGACGTTTCCTTTTCCTCACTCCTTTTTACCCTTTTGTTTTTGTTCTTCCCATTTCTTTTCTTTTCTTCTTTTAAATTTCAGTTCTCTTTCTGCTTCTTCGTTTTATGTATATGACGGATTCATTTATAATAATGTAAAATTTTTTAATTTTATTTTTTAATTATTAATTTTAACATATATAAGAATTAAAAAATAATTTAATCACATTCTTTAAATATATTATATTAATAATTAAAAAATATAAAATTAAAATTTTATATTAATATAAATGAAATATATATATATATATATATTGTTCTTTTGTATCTCACCGGGATGTGATCATGTAATCCTAATGAAGAATTACATATGTACAAACAGTTAGAAAGGTAATATATATTATTATTCGACAATAAGATCAATTGAATATTAACTCAGATACTATGTTATCAAACTTTTAAAAATTAAAAGTTTGAAAGAATTTAAACAAGTAATTAATAACATGAAGTGAATCTCAATTCTCAGTATAAGTACTATCGCCAAGTCTTTAGGAAAAACCAGAAAATCAGCTTTAACATTACAGTTCTAAGAGAAGAAAAAATTAATAAGTTGAAATACGAGTAGTCATTGTCATTGATTTAAGCGTGCTTTTAATCTTAAACCCTAAAAATTATACTGCTCATGAAAAATTAAGAGTAATTAATTAATTTCTCAGTGGATTACGAACACCCATAAAAATTAAGGTTAAATTTTTTAAAAAATTTTATTTATCATTAAAAAGAGAGGCATCAGTTTCCTTCAAAAAAAAAAAAAAAGGAAATGCATCAGGAACATACAAAGTTATGAAGAAGGTGAAATTAATTGCATATTGAAGATCAAAAGTCCATTTCAGAGTCAGAAAGACACAAGCTGGTTTTCCAAAGTTACAAAAAGTTAGAGGATAATACAAAATCAATTAAATAAAAATAAAGATAATCTAATCTTGTGATTGTGATTGTGATAGCCAATGAATACCTATCACTTAGCTTTTTAAATAGGGTTTATATAAAATATATCACGCATTGTTTGTATACAAACACTATATATTATTGTGCATATAAAATTATTACATCATTAAGTAAAATTAAAAGAATTCAACGAGGAAAATTTTAGAAAAATCTTTTAATTTAATATTATTTATTATTAAGATAATGACTTGCGATGTATTAATAATGTATAACATTTATATAAGTTAATATTATATCAAATATAAATATTTTTAAATGCAATAACAATATTTGATGCAAATAATAAATTAATAAGCATTTTTTATTTTTAATTAAAAAAAAGAAGTTATCCTAATTAACTTTTTATTTGTTGCAGCTTCTTATATACTACTAATATTAGCCATGTTTTTCGTGTTCAAATTTCCAAACTCCAACTTTCATTATAGAAGTGATGATAAGTATAATGTTAATCACATCTTATTAGTTCTAGAACTTGAATCTTACTCACTCTTCCATATCTTTCTAAGAGCCATTTAGCCACCAAACCAAATAACCAAGGACTCACAAATTTTTTTCTTATAATACAACCTCATTTGTAAAAAAAAAATCTTCATTAAGTGGTTTTTTATTTAATGCTAATTAATACTATAGAGATTAAAATGAATCTTATATACTATCAATACTACTTCATATAATACGAATCCCTTAAGGGATCCTGAGTTTACACGTGTACTTTTTCTTCTTTCATAATACTTTTTTATATGACAAAAAAGCAGCCAAGTAGAAAATAAGCTGCCACTTAATAATGGACCACTTAAGCATGTTGACTGGTGTATTTTTACTTGATTTTCGAGGATTTTTTTTTGTTGCTTTTCATTATTATTGGTATTAAAGGTGGTTTGAATGACAGAAAGCCTAGCGTGAAAGATAGACTTCTTGGCTGTAATCGTAAAATCAGTCTTTTGTTTTTATTTTGTTTGACAATGCTTTTTTTAATTGGTGCTGTAATCGTTTTTTTATGGAAACACAGTTTTTTAGTAATATTTTATTTTGCATGTTGTTTGAATTAAGTTCTGATTTTATTTTTGATTGATCCTTTCTTCTTCTACTAGGCCAAGGTTGGGGTTTTTACTCTTCTACTTAGCCAGATGATCATTTTCTTGGAAGTTCCATCTAATTTGATTAGTTCTACCCTTTCATTATCAACCATATTTAAAACTTATCAATTACCTGAAAACTCATTTCTTTAACTCAATATTATCTTCTTCAAGTTCTCTTTTTTGTAATCACAATAAAAGAATAACAAAAATATTTACAAATGTTCAGTTCATAAAATAAAGTTTTTTTTTTTTTTTTATCTTTTCAACTAGGGATTTATTTTGGGTTTTTGGATAAGTTTTGTTGGAGGATAGTTTAATCTCTATAGCCAAGCAATTCCAGTAAATTAAAATTAGAACTTTAATTCACATTTCCATAAATAGTTTATTTTTCTTCCCCCTATAACTATGTACGGTGTATTTTGATTTTCTTTAAATCCCCTGCTTTTTAGTAAAAGAACAAATAGCAAGGAATGCATCTTAAGAGTTTATTTACTGTTTTACAAAAAAATGAAAATTTTGTAAGTAGGTTAGCAAAATTTGCAAATAAGAAATACATTGATTTCTGCATAAACAATTGCTTCACCGATAACCTCATGGGAAGCTTCGATGCAAAGAGTTATGAGTCCAGAAAATGAGGTGACTCTACATAACTGAATTGCCTGAGGTAAGTTTGCAGATCAAACTCTTACGTATTAAGAGTTTTAGATTCTTGCAATCTCATAGTAATTGTTAAAGTAATTAATTGCCGCATTTACTATGAAAATATTTTCATGAATAATAATACAGTAAATAATACTTGAAATACCGACTCATCAACACAAGTTCAAAACCCATTTAAAATTTAAACAATGTTACTCCTTTATGCTTACATATGGTTTGATTCTTGATGAATTGTCTTTTTTTTTTTCATAATATATTTTTAAAATTGAAAGAGGAATAGAAATTCAGAATTAAAATTAGTCGTAAAATGGACGTGGAAGTATGAGATCTGATGCGGCAAGAATCACTTGATCAGAATAAGCCCAAAATGCTGAAAAGGTTGGTAATGCGGCAGGGTCAGGCTATAGGCAAACAACTGCAAAACTACTAGCAGTAGGGATCAGTCATGTACGGCCAGCCCACCCTTTCAAAGAAACCCTTCCATTTATCCGCTGGTCTATATCTCCATTCCTCGTCGAAAAACAATAAAATAACACAAACTTGTACCATATTCCGTAATTGAGAGAGACCAACTTTTTTTTTTCAATATTGTACATATCTTTTCATAATAAAAAATTTATTAGAAAACCAAAATCAAATACTTCTGAAACTGCAGCAGTTAAGGTAGTAGTAACACTACTATTTTGAAGCCAAAAAAAGAAAAAAAAAAGTCTAGGATACATTTCTTTATCATATGCTAATTAAAGATCCATGATGAGGCAGTAAAGGGGGGGTGATGGTTGTCAGCCCCAGCTAACCTGAAAGAGAAATGAAATCACAGAGAGCCGTAGGCTGGCGGTGGGTCGGGCAGCTATATACGAGAGGCTCGGTGCTCAACAAGAACCCCATTGGATATTGGTTGGTGCAACCAATTTTAACAGCAAAAACAGCTGTGAATGGACACTGCCTTGGTTGCAGTAAACAAAGATTATATTGTATTCATTCACATCTTCATGACAGTGTCCACGGAAGTGTAGCAGTAAAAACCATAAAAGAGATAAAAATTTGCTTCAGGATTGTTCAGGGTTTCATCGTTCAGGCCATAACAGCAACAACTCCTTTTTCTCTTTTCTTTTTCTTTATTTAATCATGACCCAACATCGCCGCCGTTTGGCTAGTGCCGTTACTGAGGGCTTCCTCGTGCTGCACAATTGTATCATCAGAATCACAGTAGTTGAAATGATTGGTGCTGTAGGCATTATTTTCTTGACCCGAATTTGCACTACCACCATTGCCAAGCAGATTTTCATTACGACACTCATCATCGATATGATCATCATCATCTTCTTCGTCATTGGCTTTGGCCGAGGCAACAGGACGCTTTTGACCAACTATAGGAAGTGGCTCAGTCAGTTGTTTGCCGTCTCGAGGAGGCACAAAAACTACTGGCAGATAGTGATCCATTTCGCATGGGAATTTTGAGTTTCTAAAATGTTCTTTCAACGCCTCCAACCCCTATTTTTAATCAATTGATTAAAAAAAATATATTGAAACAAAATTAGAGCCGTATAAAGAATAAAGCTTTTGATCCAACAAGAGAAAAAAAGAACGGCAAAGAAACCTGAACTCTGGCATAAGTGACTTCACAGATTTTTCTTGAGTTGAAAACTTCCCAATGTTGATGATGGAAGGCCTTGTAAAGTCTCCATGTTGCTTGCGGAGATGTCATGTTCACAAATCCATATCCCACATTACACTTGTTGCTGTTTTTTTTTAAATAATAACAATTCAAAGCAAAAAGTGTAAATGAATCATAAAATACTCCTGAAATTTACTACACTGGTAATAGATTTGTATGAATTCTATATACAAAATTCAGAAAAAGAATGGGACGGAAAAGAAAATTACTTAAAATCAATGGGGAGGTAGACGAAATCATAAGAAGATAATGGCTGATCATCCCCGTCAGCAATTTGCTCGTTGCAGTGAATACAGTGATTGTCCAGCATGTTCAACAACAATTTCTGACTGCAACATACCAAATTCAATCACACATTAATATAAAGGAAAAAATTCTCCACATTTTTAACAAGAACCCAAAAATGCAATCATGTTATTTTCTATTTTAAGTAGAAGTAAAAAAGCCTAACCTATACTTGTTGGGGATGTTCTTAATCATGACAGTGGTCCTGGAATCTTTACAATTAGATTCCACCATGGCATCTTCACTTATTAAGAAACGAGGATCAAACTTCTTTGCTTGTCTACCTTTCCATGGCTTACCCCTACACTGCTGCTGCTTACTCCCATTGCTACCACTCAATGTGGATTGGTTGTTTTGGTTTTTCGCAGTCTTCTTAGCACCTCCACCACCAGCCACTGATGTTTCAACCAAACTCTTGCTGTTGTTATTCCCACTAGGGTTTCCCTTACTAAAATTAGACACTTTCTTGGTAGGCGATTGGCTTCGAGAACGAAAAGAACGAGGGATGTTCGAAGAAATTCTACCAGAGAATCTGCGCGCCAATGAAGGTGGAGGAGGCGGAAGCGGGGGAGAAGATGGGTACTTTGAATTTCTTGAATGATGATTATATTTACTGGACGGCAATGAAATATTATCAGTGCAAGCTGTGAATGCGTTAACGTTGATGTTGGCGTTGTTAGCATTGAAGAACTTCCTGCTATATCCTCCAGGTCGACTAAATTCAATTACAACTTGCTTCCCATTAATTTCTTTTCCATTCATTTCTCTTAAAGCCTTAGCCGCATCTCTTACATCATAAAACTCCACAAACTTTTGGCGTTTCTTCAATGGTGTTTCTCTCAGTTCCTTCACGGGGCCTAACAACAAAGTTACAAAACAGAAATACAAAATTACAAATAAGGATGAAATAAAAATTAAATCATATCCATAAATATGAAAAATGCTGTTCTTCATTTTTGTAGTGAAAGACCCTGCTAATTTCAACAGGCAAATAGGAAAACAGAAAATGGATAGAGACTCATCAGATTGAACAACAAAAAACCAAAGAAAACAAAACAACCTATGTACCAATCAAACCCTTTTCAACTTTCTTTTTCAGAAAAAAAAAAAAAAGGAAAAGAAAAAAAGTCGAGAAACCAAAAGGTCCAAAACTTACCAAAAACTTGGAAAATATCTTTGAGTTTAGAAGTGGAAACGCCGGGGTCCAAATTGAAAACCACAACAGTTCCTTGATTATTCCCGTCAGGAACAGCATTACTTGCCGGAATAATAAAATGGGCCCAAACAGCTCTCCCCGATATGAGTCCACGCGCAGGTGGAGGCAGTGAAGCACACGCGTTGATCTCTCCTGGTTCGCACCCGGCTGCAGCCGCAACATATTGGTCGCGAACCCTGGTTTGTTGTTGCATGTGCTGCTCTCGTATTTCCTTCAACGCTTTCTCCGCATGTCTCAGATCGTAGAAATGAACGGTCGCGATTCCCTCTCCGACCCTTTCCATCTGAACCCCACGTACTTCCCCGAACACTTCCAATTCTTTCCTCACCATAGACTCGCTCACATCGCATGGAACCAATGTCAAAACTAAAGCCCTCGTCGCCGCCGCCGTCGGAGGCGGCAGTGGCGGCTGAGGTGCAACCACCATGGAAGCTGTTACGTACGCCGTTGGTGCAGGTACAGGTAAGGCAGTATATAACTGTGCTACGCCGCCATCAAACGGCACCGCTGTGGATGCAGCGTACGGGTAGTAAAGTTGGGGTGGTCTGAAGAAAGGAATCTGGGGCTGGCAAACAGGGTTTTTGGCGGGCCAAAATTCTTGTGCAGACGGGTCGAGGTTTCCAGGGAACCGGACCGCAACGGTTTCGTCCATGGCTGTTTCAGGGCTGAGAACCTATAGCCAAAACTCAAAAAAAAAAAAAAGGTTAAAAACAAGAACCTTTTATTCGGCTTGATAAAAGAACCTGTTTCAGGAAGCTGTTTTCTTGAGTTGAGGCTGTCAAGAGAAAAACGCAAGTAAACCAAACTTGTTTGTTTGTTTGTTATTTTCCATCTCCCGAAAGTGTTCAACGTTGAAAGTCGCAGTGTGAAACGAAAAAGGATAAAATGGAAGGAAGGGTTTTAGTTTCTCCTTTCCTTTTCGCTCTACTTTGTTTCCAAGACAAAGGTTGCTAAAAATGTCGTTTGCCTATTGCCACCTCGTGGAATAGATGAATTTACCAGTGAAGCCCACCTTTTTCTGGTCTTTTGGCTCTGATCCTCCTTGTGATTTGGGATGATGAAGAATACGAGCCGTACACGTGGTGACGGGGACGAATGTGTGTGGGTTGCCAAAAACCGGACGGGGATGATTAATAATTGCCCTGCTGCATGGTACTTTTCATGTTGGTTTTTTGACTACTCGACTCATCTCCTCTGCTTTTATTGGTGCACCCTTATTATTTCTTTTGTCCTACTTCTCCACGGGCCTTTTGTTTTAATCCCACCTTGCTTCCCCATTTCAATTCCAACATCTATTTTTCAATTTTGTTTACTATTAAGGTTAGAATCCTACTACAATTCCAAGGATATCTTTTTTCTTTCTGTTTTTTTTTTTTTGGGTTAGAGAGCTACTACAATAAATTTTTTTCATAAAAGAAGTTTTAACACTTAGGTATGCGACATGATTTAAATATTAAATTTTTAATTTTTAATTTATTAAATATTATAATTTAAAAGTGGTTATATAAATGAGTTAAATCAAATTTTAAATTTTAAATTCTTCTATAGTATTTTTATTTGGTTGATATGTATCTTGTTACAAGGTTTTTTAATTTTGAAAAAATAAATATTTACTTATAAATCAACGTTCAATTATTGACCATCATAAATCTTTTATATTTAAAAGGGATACACTTAACGTAAATTTTTTATTTTTAGATTAAATTGATTAAAATCATAAATATTATTTTAATTTAAATTAATTATAAATTCAATTTTAATTTAAGTATTAAAAAATATAAAATTTACATTCATATAAGTAAATTTTTAATTTTCCGTGTATATACATATAGTCAAAATTAACTTTAATATTTGATTTTAGTTTTATGTGAGTTCAAAAAAAATGCTAAACAAATCAAATATAACTTTATTTATTTGTAATATTAAATTATACAATGACAGATTTTTTTTTTCTTATGTTCAAGCTCATTCATACAAAATTTAAATTTAATTTTTTAATAATATACATAAGAGAGAATTACGAGTTCATAAACTTAATTCCCTTAAAATTATCAAGAAATCTTGAGAGCTCATTTGATAAAAGCCTTAGATACATGTGATATTTAATAATAATAATAATTTTACATTAAATTACAAAGTGTTGCCTTATACGAATTACATGCAACCATTTTTCTACACACTTTTTATGTTAGAAAATTATTTTGTAAATTCTAAAATAATAATGTTATAAAAACATTGACAATAATTTTATATTTTTTTTTACTGTAAAATGTAATTGTATTAACTTATTACAATATAACATTATTTATTATAATTTTATACTGCAAAAAATTACAATATTTATAAAGTTGTTACTTAAAAAAATTATTAGTAAAAATGATTTTTTATAATATATTAAACTAAAAGCAGAAATTATAATAATCAAATTAATGATGGACAAAATGCCATTAATTGAGTTCGGGTGATGAAATTACTTCAACCACAACTTAAAATACTTTCATTTCATCCCCTGGAATTAATGTGTAGAATAAAAACGAGCAATTCCAAAGATATTTGTAGTTTGGATTAGATATGGGCATTAAATAACATACGATCCATGAAAGAAAGAAAAACAAATAAAGTTGTATCTGAATAAATTGAAATGACAGCATGGATCAGAAACACTGATTCATTACTTGAACTGAATCCATCTATCGCAATTTCAATCAAATCTCTGTAATAATGAAGTGATTGCTAGTCCCTTCTAATAGTAGGAAATCAACTTTTTTCTAAAAGTATATAATTATCGAAAGGGAAAAAGGGGTATTACGAGAAAGAAAATTTCATATTTTCTCTTGGCTCCATCCACAAATTATTTGGACATCGGCCCGAATTCACGACCGGCTTGCTTTGATATTTGCCAGCACACGTGCATCATTTGCTTTCTTTTTTTTTTTTTTTTTAAGTAATTTGAAAAATCTAAAGAGGGTTTGGTTTGGTTCCATATTCCAACATGAGATTTCCACTACCCGTCTTAATCTTTGTATTTAAATTTTGTCTTTTGTTACTTTGCATGCACTTGTCTCCCCTCTCTTTTTTTATATTTTAAGATATGATAATTTTAGACATAATATTTTGAATAATTTAAAATTTTAATAAAAATATATATAAATTTTATGAAAATAAAAATTATATATTTATATTTATTTAATATATAATATAAATTATAATGTGATAATTTTATATTTTATATTTATTTTATATAAATAAATATAATATAAATACATGAATCATAAATTTAATCATCTTTTATATCTTAAACAATAATATTTTTCTTCCCTTCAACTACCATATTCTAATATACATGCCTTCACGTCACTCATATGGATTTTTCATCTCCCTATGATACACCACGCCTTTGCCAATATTTGAATATTGGTCCAAAATCATGAAATCATATGTCATTGGTCTTTTTTTTTTTATATATACATTATGATCAACTTTTACCTTTGCCAATAATATTAAGGAAAGTGTTTGATCAATATAATTTTATTGGATAAAATATATAAGAAAAATTTAGATGCATCGACTTCTTCAAATTCCGAATATAAAACGAGTGGAAACGTGAGTTGTGATATGGTGAAGAAAAATTTGCTATGAATTATTAATGCATTTTTTTTTAAATAATTTGGATTCGAATGTTTCATCTCTCGTATTAACCAAAAAAAATTTTTATAATATAATAATATATATTTTTATATAAAAAAAGTCATAATTTAAAGATATATAAAAAATTATAAATATTAAAATTTAAATATTAAATTTATTGATATCAATTATCAAAATTAATTACATTAATTAATTGAATTAAATTAAAAATCCAATTCTTTAAACGCACGAGAAATGTAGCAGCAGCTTGTCGAAGTGGCTAAATCAAGTTAATAATTAATCAAAGAGGTAGCTTAGTAGCTTTGCATGGGGTATGTTCCCCATCACAGCCACACGAGTTCATGGGCCACTAGGTGTAGTTTGGAAAAGGGCGGCAAAAGGGACCCCTCTTTTTAAGGGCAAAAAGAGCACGGGAAAGGGTATTTTTCTTTCTTTTCCATGGCCGGATCCCACCATTTTCTTAAATGGAGGCTACGCTGTATACGGAGACTTGCTATATTAGGTCGCAAACGCACACCAGACATTCTATTTGCTGGAGGCAGAGGAGTCTCCAGCCCTCACCATAGCCTTTTACATTACGTTGTGCAGGACAAAAGCCGCTAACAAGAATTTTACACAAGAATAATAATAATAAAAAAAAAAGGAACTCAGAGAAAGATTAAAGAAGAAAAGTATGTAAGGTTCATCATGATCCCAATCCAATAGAAAGAGTGAACTTTTCCGAAGGTGTAAAATTATATTTTGAAAGAATGACGAAGTATAAATTTAGTTGTATATTCTTTTGTTGCTCCGCAAATCGTAATATCTAAGGACTAAAGGTGCCTTTGGATGAGTGATTTTGTTTGTAAGAAGACTTAAATTTTTAAAATAAAATTATTTTGTTTGTTAAACTTAAAATTAAAATTGTCAAAAATTTTTAAATTTGAATAAATAATTTTAGAAGGATCAAATTCTCTTTTCAAATTTCACTTAAGGAGGTAGAATTTATGAAATTTTTTGATTTTATGATAAGAAGTCAATAGTCACTATATTTTCATTTTTTAGATAATTTTTTTTTCAATTTTAACAACAAAATCTCATTATAAAATTTATTTTTTAATTTTTATATTATTATTAATATCTACATATTTTAACAAATCTAATTACACCCATATTATATATTTAGTATTTTATTTTTATCTCTAATATTATTATTTATCTATTATAATTCCTTTTATCTCATCAAATTCTAATATTAATTTTTTTTTAAAAATAATTATCTAATAATGCAATTACAAATTCTATTATTTTGAATTAATGCACTTCAAAAAGTTAGTACTTTAAAATTCTTTATCCAAACGCATCCTAAAAGATGAAATATACTATGTTAGTGTTTGATATTATTTTGAAAATTATCATATTAATTATAGTAATTTAATTATTGAGGTGATTATATTATTACAATAATCTTATATCTCACGTCAATAATAAAATTTTTTTATTTTTTTAGATAAGAATTAAATTACACAATGATTTAATCATTTTCAATAATATAAAATTATCAGTATATTAAATCATTGAACTCTTAAGGTATGCACCTTCTATCAAACATTACCTGTAATTTCTTATTTTAAAACTTATTATGGCTTGTTGGCAAAAAAAAAAAAAAAATTTCTGGCTTACCATTCTCTTCATATTATTCTTTCGCTAGTTAATCGAATATATCATAGTAATAACTAATAATTAACTTGAAGTAGTGCATACTTAATTAAACTTTTAACTTCTTTCAAAAGTTTAGAAGGATGAAAATTCTTTATAAAGATTAGTCATTTTTTTAATATTGTCAAGAACGATTTTTTATTTAGTGGTTAAGGAGTTTTTGGATTCTTTCCAAAACATCTTCTTTCCAAATTGGTTCAAGCAGATTTATCTATGTTAAACCTAATAAATTCATAAAAAATTATTTTTTCACAATTACGTAATAAATTCAAACCTTAATAACAAAAAGAATAACATATTTATTTTATCACTTGAGTCAACTATCTATTAGTATAGTCATATTTTATTTTCGTATATGATTTTAAGGATACATTTCTTTACATTTATACGATACATTTAAAATTTTACTTTTTAATAATTTTCATAAAAATTAAACTTTGGTCGGTAAAAAATTAC